GCGCAGTTTATATGATGAGTAAGAATGGGAGTGAAGAAGGAAACTGAGACGAGATGAGGAGGTATTTATCGGAGGAAGAAGACAATGATGACTCTACACCTCGAGACACGCGGCTCTGTCTCAATTTTCAATTCCATTCTTCTCAATTATCTAATAGATATAAACTTACGTCATTTCCTTGGTTACTAAGTTGCTAATTTATAATTTATACTTATACCCCAGATTTATCTACTAATAACACTTCAGCCACCTAAATCTAACTATATTATTATATTACTCTCATTAATGAATAAACTTCAATAATATACATATATAAACTATTATTATACCACATAATAAAAATTAAGGGGTGTTACAATTGACTACTAAATTACTGTCTCAGACAGTAATATTACTGTTTGGGACAGTAATATTATGAATATTATTTTCTCGAACAGTAATATTATTAATATTATTGTCTAAGACAGTTAAATTACTGTTGGAGACAGTAATTTAGCATCCAAGGCAGTAATGTTAATTAAAATAACTTTTTTTAAGAAAAAAAAGTAAAAAAGAAAAAAGTCAATTAACAGTTAAATTATTGTCTCCGACAGTTAAATAACTGCTGGTGACAGTAATTTAGCAACGAATACAGTAATATTAATTAAAAATATTTTTTTAAGAATAAAAAAGTCAATTAACAGTTAAATTACTGCCTCCGACATTTAAATAACTGCTGGAGACAATAATTTAGCAACGAATACAGTAATATTAAGTAAAATATTTTTGAAGGAAAAAAAAAGAGTCAATTAAAAGTTAAATTACTGTCTCCGACAGTTAAATAACTGCCGGAGACAGTAATTTAGCAGCCAAGACAGTAATATTAATTAAAATATTTTTTTTAAGAAAAAACAAAATTATAAAAAATAATAAAAAAAAAAAGTCAACGCCGGAGACCCGGCGGCCAACGGCAGTTGACCGGCCGGAAAAAAAAATTCAGGAAAAAAGAAATTTCAAAAAAAAAAAAAAAAGTCAACGTCCAAGACCGGCGGTCTCTGGCGGTCAACGCCGGTCAACAGCGGCGACCGGCGGTCTCCGGTGGTGGCGGATCAAAATTGGGGTCAAAATTGAAATTAGGGTTAAAATTGGTTAATTGATGAAATTAGACTAAATTGGGGTGTAAATCATGAAATTGGAGTTGAATTGAGTTTCAATGAATTGGGGATAATTTTGGTATATATAAAAGGATTTTCCTTATTTGCAAATAAGTTTGAATGGGCTGGATTTATTTGAAAGACAAAAAAGTTGGATGTCTCTCTTTTAATTAAGTGCCCTTGTAATGGGCCTATTCGCCATTACCCCATTAATATATAATTATTATTTTTGTGTTTGTTTCACAATTTGGGAGAATAGTTGTTTTTGATAAGGGTACTATAGACATTTCATGACAGTCAACGAATTTTATTGGAATAGGGGATCTGGGCTGAATAAAACTCATCGTCTGAGATTAAAGCTAATTATTTTAACACGAGGGCTTTTGCAGCAATTAGACATTTTACAGGGGTGTATGCAATTAACTCAAGATTAATTTAATGGGAATTAATTAATAGGATAATTCCAATAATGTGGGATAAGTCCAAACCTTTTTAAATTTTTGAGTAAAACTCATTAGTTCTAAGTTTCATTTGATATAAACACAAATAGTTAGCTTGTACCCTTTATATCCTTTCAAACTCTAATTAGGGTTTATTTTATCTTACTTTATTTTTATTATTATTATTATTATTATTATTATTATTATTATTATTATTATTATTATTATTATTATTATTATTATTATTATTATTATTATTATTATTATTATTATTATTATTATTATTATTATTATTATTATTATTATTATTATTATTATTATTTAAAAAAAACTAATTTCATTTATTTCTTTTTTATTTTTTTCTAGTAGTGGCCTGGATGGTGGGAGCTCTAGTTAGCTGACTCAATATTAGTTAACTTCAATTAGTTGACAACTTGACATTCATTTTTTTTTCTTTTATATCATTTATTTTATTTTAATTTATTTTTTCCGGCGGTGGGTCATTGGAGCTATAGTTAGCTGACCCAGCATTAGTTAACTTCAATTAGTTGAAATTCATTTTTTTTTTCTCTTTTTATTTTTTTTCCTTTTTTAATTTTCTTTGTAGCACCCCCCTCGGGTCGGGCGATAAATCGAACCGGTTTATCGGAAAACTTTAGATAGCGGAAGCAAAAAGGGATCTCTTTGTAATTTTAAAACTTTCGAGTAGGACCAAAATGTAATTTCTAAAAATATCTTTTTGGGTCATTTGAAAACCTTGGAAAACCTTAAGAATTTCGAAAACTCCTTAGGGTTATTTTGGTCGTTTAAATTTCTCGTTTTAGAAATAACTTTAAAAAGGCATATAATCAAATCGGCATATAAGGATTAATAGTCCAAGCAAATAAGGCACTTAGAGAAATTAATTTAATAAGGTAAATAAATTCCTAAAAATTCCTACATGAGAATTTCCGGGTTATGGAATTTTGGTTTTTATGGTTTTTTTTAAAATTGTTTTTAATTCCTTCAATTAGAGCCAATGACCTGATGACACGTGGCAGTCTTTGGCTATAAATAGCTGGAAAATTGAATTAGCTGTAGCTAAGTTGAGGTTTATAATGATGAATGGCTAGGCTATAGCAGGTTTCTTTGTATGTTTGGCACGAACAAAAATTATTAATTTAAAAAATGTAGCAATGGAACTCATATAATTGTTCATGATTTGACAAATAAATGCCTAATGAAATTTTTCTTTTCCCTCAAAAAGTAAAGAAACCCATTTCTGGAAACTCCAATACAACTTCCATATTTTTCAGTCACTTTCCAAATCTAGGTTTTGGCCTTCTTCCCTCTTTCCCCTCTTTCATTCTTCAGAGCCGCCTCCACAGCTTAGCCAACCTTCTGTTATTGGTGCTGTTCAGGGTATGATTACTGGTCTTGCTTGCATTACTCCTGGTGCAGGTACCGTGCTACCACCCCTCTATTTCTATTTCTATTTCATTTCATTATTTATTAATTAATTAATCAAAATTACATTTACAGTAGGTGTGTAATCTTATTGCACAAACATAAAGAGTTGAATTTTTTTTTGTGTAACTCTTATTTTCTTTATGCTTTTTCCACATTTTTTGATCTCTTTGTTTCTTCAGCTTTTTTTTTGAAGAAAATATTTTTTTATTTTCTTCTAATTTTTTCACAAAATAAATATTGGGTAGTCATTTATTGTATTGGGCATAAGACATTTTATGATTATTCACCAAATTTATTTGATATTGTTTACAAAATTTCTTAACAGGTTATTAATAAAAATGTCGATGTGAGAAGGAAGAGAAAGTTGGTTTTGCCTACAGCAAATAAGTTGATCTGTAAGTAATGCTCAAAAATTAAATACACTATATTAGATGATCAGATTCCATGTGTAGAAATACACTAGTTGTATTCATTATTGCAATATGGAGCTAGATATATGTGTATAATATGTATCATGTGTTGTCATTACTTTTTGAGAGAGAGAGAGAGAGAGAGAGAGAGAGAGAGAGAGAGAGATAACAGAGGACAAAAGAGATCATGTTTGTGTATTTTTATGTGTTTGTGTGTGAGTGTTTGTCACAAAAGTGTGTTTGTGTGTGTGTGTGTGTATGTCAAAAGTATGTATATGTCAAAATGTGTGTGTGTGTGTCAAAAGTATGTATATGTCAAAATGTGTGTGTGTGTCAAAAGTTTGTGAGTGTGTGTATGTGTGTGAAAAATGTGTTTGAGTGTGAAAAATGTGTGTTTGGAACCAAGTGGATCATGGTTGGATCCAAACATTAGTCTACATAAGTTGAGTAGAAATTATTTTGATTTTTGTTGCCATCTTTGTTTGTTTACATAGTTTTTATTTATTTATTTTAATTTCTTTTTCTTTAAAGTGATATATCTGCTTTTCTTGCCTTTGTTTTTCAGTTCGCATATCTTCTTAACTTTTGGACTATCCGTGCCGCCGAGCCGCCGCCGCCATTTGTACCGAAAATCTACGCCGCCGCCGACACTCTTTCTCCAAATCTTGTACGCTCTGCTCGTCATCGCCGGCATCACTCTAGGTATTAACTATTACATTTCAATTATCTTTGTTTGCACACATTTTTTTTATTTACTTTCTCTTTCTTTAAAGTGATATATCTGCTTTTTACTCCCCTTTATTTTTCTTTACATATTTCTTTGCATTATATATCTCAATATGAATTAATTATTTTTAGGAAAGTTGTAAACTGAGAATGGGCATATAACATGCCGTCTAATGTTCGTATGCATCTGATATATGTTCTTGCACCAGTAATTGGTCGGTAATTTTTCTCAATATCACTTGTTTTTTCCCCTGCCAAAGAATGTTCTAAATTCACATTTTACAAACTCCATATTTTCTGCAAGCTTTTATTGCCTTGAGAGAATTAAAATTGAGGAAAGTCTTGTGTGCCTTGAGTAATTCATAGGTAATACAAATGAATAGGCATTTGAGAAATTCCACACTTACTTAAAACTATAATTTGGTGCCTTAGTGTTGTTGGGGGTAAATTTATTTAACTAACGAGTTTCATTCGAACGAGTGAGTGAGAAGCCTATTGATAACTTTGGCTGGAATGTTGTCAATCCCTTGAATTTGATCTCTATGCAATGTTAGGAATAGCCTAAAAGAGTTAATCCTCGTAGTCATAATTTTGCTTTTGGAGTAATTGTTTTTAATACGATATTTAGATTCAAGTCCAATTATTTTCCTTCAAGTAATTTTTTTTTTCATTTGCAACACCGGGACTATAAAACATTACCAGACATGGCAGGCGTGGCAGTGGTAGATCCTGGCTTAGCTCAAGTTGATGAACCGTTTATTGGAGGTATGTTTTTCATGAGTTTATTGCATTTACTAAATGCAATATACTCATTTTCATAATCTATTTTTTCTTTTCCTTTTTTTTTCCTAAAAAAATGGGAACTACAAACAAATTTTCTTTCTTTTGTAGGGTCTAATGTTACAAAAAAAATCGTAGACCTTATAGATAAGTTAGATAAGGATAGTGTTGCGATAATGAAAGAAGACACTGATCTTAGGAAAGAATTAAGTGATGTTGTATCTTCTATTAGTACGAATTTAAGTGTCTGCATCGCCATATCAATGGCTGCAACTAATCTAGCTAAGGGGCACAAAGAGTCTTCACATTTTTATTATGCCTACTTGGCTCTGATTTCTCTAGCCATCATTTTAAGTTTCTTATATTCGGCCGCTTATAAGCGAGTTGATCGTAAGGAAATGGAGAAAAGAGGGAGAAATATTAATCGTAGGAAGCTGTTATTGCAAGATATGGCAAAGATTATTAGGTTGCAGTTACAACCACTAGGCACTACGGAACCACTGTATTGGAATTGCTTGGAAAGAGTAAATCATGTCATTAGTACTCTAGACGAAACTGAGCATAGGAAATTGAATGGGTGGTGGTATTTGCCATCTTGCATGCCTCAAATCATTTTCATCATCTCTACTGCTGGTCTTGTGTGCTTGGCATTGTCGTCAACAAAAGGTAACTTTAAATTACAACTTGTGCTTTAAATTACAACTTGCGTTTAAAATTACAATTTGTGCTAACAAATTGAATTTTCATTTTTCTGTGATACAGCCCCGAACGAAAGTACTTTGGCTCCGGCTCCAGCTCTGGCTCCGGCTCCGAGTGGATGAACATGATGTGGTGTCAAGATATTACTAGGGTAAGATTTTTGGTGATTTTACAGATGTAGCTTCAAATTTTAATATTCTAAACATACTATGTTTGATGTTATTTCTTACTACCACTTCTCATATTTCAGCAATATATTCTCGATCATCATCTGAAAGTACAAGGATATCTTAAAACAAAATTGGACTTTTGAATGTCACCGTTTAATTTAACTTTGAGCTATCTTTGACTTCGGTTATTTCTTTCAACTGCAGCTTTTGGTGTATCATCTATGAGGGTACAATGTTGATCAGCCTCGAAATCTTGCAAAAAATGTGACAACTCAACGATGAATGAAACAGAGCTGCTCGTTTAATCCTTTTTGGCCGTTCTTCTATCGAATTTTTATTTTATTTTTTCCTTCTTTTTTTTGTCAAGGAAATGAGTTTAGGAGTGTGATAAATGGCTGTCTTTCTACTGAATTTTGCCTGCACAAACAGATAAACTAATCTCGGTAGACAGATTAGATGACTAACTGTTGTGAGGTAACATTGTCAGAAACTATAATAGGCTATATGTTTGTTGTTAAATATTTAAGTACATATTTCATTTAAAAGTATGTTATATATTAAAAGAAGGGGAAATATGCAATCCCCCCCTAAAATGGAAAATATTATGTAAAAAACCCACTTGACTTTTTAGACTTTTTCCCACACCCATATCCCAATCTTAATTAGTGAGACCCCCTTATTAAGATAGGATAAGACATAATTACCCTTAACAACAGTTTTTTTCCCCTTCTTCTTTGCCGTTCTCTCTCACGTGAAACTCTCTCTGTTCTCTCGTAATCTCTATTTCCTCTCTTTTTTTTTTTTTTTTTTCCGTATTCTTCTTTGCAGATCTGCCGCTGCCGCTTGCATTTGAGATTTACACCAGCGTCGCCGCCCTCCTCCCTCCTTTTCACATCACCGCCATTATCCACTCACCCAACCACCGATATCACAGCCGCCGTCTAGGGTTGTGCCGTCAAGACTTGCTACGGTGTCAAACCTCCCAAAAAACTCATGTTGTCGTCTCCTACACATCACACCACCTTCCTTTCGTTATTTTCGATTTTTTTCTTTTTTTTCTCTCTAGATCTGAAGCAGCAACATCAACGTGACTACAGTCTGGTTCGAATGTGACTATTCGATTTTTTTTGCTACAGTCTGGTTCGAATGCCGTCAAGACTTGCTACGGTGTCAAACCTCCAAAAAAACTCATGTTGTCGCCTCCTACACATCACACCACCTTCCTTTCGTTATTTTCGATTTTTTTCTTTTTTTTTTCTCTCCAGATCTGAAGCAGCAACATCAACGTGACTACAGTCTGGTTCGAATGTGACTATTCAATTTTTTTTTGGCTACAGTCTGGTTCGAATGCCGTCAAGACTTGCTACGGTGTCAAACCTCCCAAAAAACTCATGTTGTCGCCTCATACATATCACACCACCTTCCTTTCGTTATTTTTAATTATTTTTTTTTTCTCTCCAGATCTGAAGCAGCAACATCAACGTGACTACAGTCTGGTTCGAATGTGACTATTCGATTTTTTTTGCTACTTTCTGTTTTCGTGTTCTTGGAAGTTTCTCAGCAATTCATGATTACTTTTGGCATTTAAGGTTTTTTCATTGTGACTGTGTGTGTTTATATATTAGAGAGAGAGAGGGAGCCTATCATCATACTTGAGTTAGTGGAGTCGATATATATGTATATAATGATTTTTTATCAATTTTTTTATTTATGTATTTTTCAATTTCTCCTTCTTTTTTCTTTTTTTCCAAATCTGAAAATACATTTCAAATATGTCCAGTAGCAGCAACATGACTATAGTCATATTTATGTATTTTTCGAATATGACTATTGTTGAATATCATTGTAGTCATATTCGAATATGTTCTATATTATCGTTTCAAGTTGACTTGTAATAACAAGATTCAAATTGTGATTTTTTGTGATCTTTTTGTGTGGATGTTGATTGCATTGTTTCCCTAAACAATAGGGAATTTTAGTTGTTTTATATAATTTGATAAACATCACTTTACCTCACTATATAATTGGAATTTTGAAGTTAAAAATTTTAAAAAATGCAATATAAGAAAGAATATGACTACAGTTGATATAGTCACATATAGTCATATTAGACTATAGTCTTATTCAACTATAGTCGTATTCGGCGTAGTACACTTGTCGGGGAAAAAAAATCAATTTTACGTTAAAAAAAATTACGAAAATATGCCTATAATCTTATTCAACTATAGTCATATTCGGCGTAGTAAAATTGTCGGGAAAAAAAATCAGTTTTTCGTTTAAAAGAATTTAAGAAAATATTAAAAAAATATGAAAAAAAAATAATTAAAAAAAAAACTTCATCTTGCACGTGGGTTTTGATTTTGTATGTGAAGAAGCAATTTTTTTTTTTTTTTAATTTGTTGGCTGATTTTATGGAGTATATTAAGGTGATTTTTTATTTTTTTAATTAGTTGGCTAATTTCAAAGGATTTGAATATTGAGTTGGAAAAAAATTACTATTATTTTGGCATTATTTAAGGAAAGGGACGTGTATTACTGGGATGGATTATTTTTGGGTAGGAAATTTTCTAATTTCAGAAGGGTAGTATTGGAATTAATATTTATAGGGGTTTATCATAAAGAAAGATTTAAGGATTGGACATATCACCATTTATTACTCATCCAAGGGGTTTATTGCTAAAGACCCCTTAAAAGAAATGTTGTACAAAAAGTCAATTGGTTGGATTTATTGACCAGTAGATCTTTCAAGAGTTTAGTAATTACGAATTAAAGTAAGGGTTAAATATAGTTTGCACCCCTGTACTATCATCACTGTCGCATTTACCTCCTTGTACTATGAAATGCGACAAAATAACTCTTCACTTTAACAGTCAACTCTCACGTCTTTAACGATGTTAGTTTCAGCAGTGAATTACCTATTTACCCTTACCACTACGACCAAGTGAGTGAAAAAAATCTTCTGCAACTTCTGAGTGAAATTACATATTTTATTTTATATTTTATAAAAATTATTTATAGTAAAATGAAAAAAATTATAAAATAAATAATGAACTCTAGTCTTAGTTTTTTTTTTATATAATTTTTATAGTATTATTATAATATTTTATATTATTATAAATCATCTAAGTAATATAGATTTATTTCTATTTAAATAATACAAATATTTATTATTATAGACTATTTACTATTTCGTCCCTAAAAGGCAGCTCGTGAGCCGGCTTGCGAGTTGTCGAAAAACTAAAATTGGGCTCGAGCTCGAGTTCGAGCCTCTGTTGAGCCGGCTCGACTCGTTTACCACCCCTACTCATAATCTATTCTTAAGTGTTTGCAAAATGAACTTATGCTTTTACTTCTCTTAAAATAAGCAACTTTAAGCGATAATTTGTTAAGTACCCAAGACCCTGTTTTTCTATATAAGTTGACACCCCCAAATTAAGCATTTAAAATCAACTTAACTCACAATTCATAACTTCTACTTTTAAATAAGCTTTTGCAAACACCACCTCAGTAGTGCAGATGTAGTGCATATTAATTTATGATAAATTAATAACTTTATTGTGTTAATTGCGTGCTAAATAAATTGCACCGTATTTGAACTAAGAGTACACACATAAGTATCTATATCCATTCATATTTTAGTGCAAATGTAACACCCCGCGTCTCCGATAATTTAAGTTTTCACTAATTAGCATCTATTTAGTTAACGTGGTTTTATCTCTTATGTGCGTATTAGTTTAAGATTTGTATTTATGTGATAACCGGTGAAATTTCATATAGAATGCATTAGTCCAGAATAATTTTGTACGAGTTTAAATTGATCGTATTGGTTAATTATTATATCTAGAGATTAATCATACTCATTTATTTTGCTATAACTCATTTGTTAGGAGAATTTATCACATATTTGCTTGAATAAAAATAGAAAATTCCTGCTATTCATCCCTCAATTTTGACCACGGTACAACACAAGACCAAAATTTTCCTTGAGTACAACCCTCCTCTAGGGTGAGCCCATGTATGTGTATTAAGATTTTACTTTTTGAATTTCTTTTTGGATAGTTAATTGAAATTGCAACGAAGTCCCTCTAGATAATTTCTAAGTTTGCCTAAATTGCAAAAAGGCCACTCCCCCATTCTTAATCATTAAGCATGCAAGTCCCCCACAACTCTATAAATAGAACCCAAGCCATATGTTTCTTCATCTTCTCTACACATCCTAAAGATCAAAAATCAAAATCTCTTACTCCTCTTCTCCCCATTTTCGAAATTAGTGTGTAGGAAAGCCCTATAATCTCTCTTTCAAGAGTAAAATTCTTGGCCAAAAAAGTAAGTCTTCTTCATCTTCTTTCTTTTCTTCATTTTCAAAAATTTCAATAAGCTAAGCTTCTTCTTCCTCTCTCTCTAAAATTTCTTCTTCTTCTCCTTGTAGAAAGGAAAGAACACCCTTCCAATTATCTAAGAAGATTAAGATGAGAATTTTTGAATTCTTGCTACAAGTGCTTCAACAATAGTATTTTTCTATTCTTTAATTTGTCGTTATAGTTCTTGTGATGACCGAAAAGTAAAGGAGGAAGAAAATAAAAATTTGTGTTGAATTTTTATGCTTTGATCATCCATGGATGTAAAAATCTAAGCTTTAAATGATGTAATCTTGAAGAACTAAGAATAATATTGTAATTTTATTTTTATATATATATATATATACCTATATATATATATATATATATATATATATATATATATATATATATATATATATATATATATATATATATATATATATATATATATATATATATATATATATATATATATATATATATATATATATATATATATATATATATATATATATATATATATATATATATATATATATATATATATATATATATATATATTAGACCTGCATGATCTTAAGGAAACTTCGATCCATGGTTTTCGTAAACATGCGTGGTCGAAGAAAGTACTTGATCCATGGTTTATTTATTATCTATATGTGCTATATATAAGTATATATTTATATGAGTATATATATCGACATACGTAGTCGTCACCGTACTCCCTTCGGGTCGAGTAAGCTTACGATCCTTAGTTTATGGACTTTTGTACCCTCAAAATACTCACATGCTACGCGCGTGC